GTTCACACCCCCCCTCCATAGCCTTGATCCTATCGTGCTACGCACTTCCACCCTCTGCGCGCTGCTCTGTGTGCTGCTTCCCCTGCGGATCAGCATCATCTTGCCCCTTCTTCCCCCAGCCCTGCCACAGCTTTGCAGTCTTTTACCATACCCTGCTCCCGTCCCCTGCCATGGCTGCAGCCGCATACCTCCAGTTCTCACCTGCCACCGTCGTAGTGCCTTGCACCACTGTCCTGGCGTCCTCACCGCCTCCTCCCCTCTGCCATGCCTCAGCACACCTCCCTAGATAGATCTACACGCCCTGCCCTTCCCTGCAGCATGTTCTTTGGGGTCCCTACTTGCTCCCCCCCCCAGAGAGAGAGGCAATTTCATGGGAGGAAATCATGCCCAGGGCCTCGCTCAAGTCCACTGCCCCTGGAAAGGGAGGCAGTCCTAATCCCAACCCCCTTCTCCACTCTGTGGCCAGGGTTGCAGGTGCCTCCCTACATCCTTTTCCCTATGTGTGATTGGTTCCACGCATATCTCTTGTTTCCGAGGTCGGTTTTTCCTTCTTTCCCCTCCCCCCTCGCTCTGCTCTGCCCTTACTGACTCCTTTTTTTCCCCCAGAGTGGTGCTGCCAGGCAAGGCACAATTGGGAGCTCCACCCAACGCTCCAGTTTGCGGCTCTGCTTCCCGTTTTAACTTTCCCTTTGAACAACACGGCCGAGGCTGTGCTGTTGTTTTTGCTTGGCTCCTTTCTGAAGGCTGTAGGACGAGCGATCACGACTGATGCCTTGGCTGTGCTTTGCTCGCTTGTAAATGTTAGCTTCCTTTGGCTGTGTCACTTACGGTGGCTGAATCCAGCTTCCAACAGACTGCTTATGTGGGAAAGTCCGTCTCTGCTGTCCCAGATGACTCATCACAGAGATGAGTTTTTGTAGCTCATCCGTTCAGGCAGACTTTTTTTTTTTGTATAAGGGCTCTGTCCTTCCAATGCAGAACACTGCAGAGAGCTGTCCAGTTGCAATAGGGAACATTCTTTCTGTACAGCAGATTTGCTGCAAAGAGGAAGGCAATCAGCTTTATGGTGCGTGAAGAAATGGTTTGAATTGAGAGAATGAGATGTATGCTAAACGTTAGGGGAAGATTTTGAAGTTGTTTGGTCACTGCAGTAGACTGCCAGGGGGTATTGTGGAGTCTGTATTGCTTGAGGTTTGCTAAAAAAAAAAATAAATATACTTTAGATAAACATCTGTCAGGAGTGGCTTAAGGAAAGCTGATACAGACTTGGAGCACTGAGAGTGAAGCTGATATTTTGAAGTAATGTTTTGAAGTCTTTTCCAACCTTATTTGCTGTGATTCCTATCCAAATTGCTTTTCTGAAGTAGGCCCTTTCTAGATCTTCTTTATGAATTTGAATTGCTGTTCACTGTTCTGTTCTTAAATGAAAATGCAGGCTTATTTGTGGGTAACATTAGACCAAAATAAGAAGTAGATCAGTTGGTTTACATGTCTGGCTTGTTCATGGGTTTCAACTGATTGATTTTGTTTTTCAGTGACACTTGTGTTCCACTGTCATGGTGTGTGATGTAATAGTGCACTATTGAACTTTTCATTTGCTTTCCTCATGTGTGGCAAGATATGGTACAGCAGTTGAGCTTTGTATCCCATATATGTAACTGAAATATAAAGAATGGCTGTTTATTAAACACCCCAGCCATAAGCAATGTTGTGTCTCCTCAGGAAATCCAAATCAAGGGCTAGTTGCTGAATATTTTATCAGCAGTTTGTCTGGTATACGGATTGCAGAAACCTTGCAACCTACAGTACAGCATTACATTAGATCCTAATGTCTGTCTTATCCTCCCCTTTATCATTAAAAATAAATGTTATGTTCCTCGTCTGCCACTGTCTTTTTACTTTCCCTTCTTCCGTTTTTCCTGGGCAGGGCTCCATCAGACATTCCTTCATACTGCCTCACTTACTTTTTGCTTCTCTCTTTGTAGCTGCATGTTGGTCTTTGACATAGTCTCTCCCATTGCTGTGGGTGGCTCACCCTCATTCCTTATGACTTTGTTTTTCAAGTCAATTTCTCATTAACTTCATTCTTCAGCTCTGTAGCCTATTTGATTTTCATCTGCTAATCCTCATTTCTGTTTCTGAGAGAAATGATTACTTCTGTTTTGGTTCTGCCAGCCATTTTATCTGAGTACTGCACCTCCAGGTCCCTTTCTCATGACTGCCACCTCCCCCTCTTATTTGTCATAATGCACCTACCTGTGACTGATAATTGAACTGGGTAGATTTCTTTGTTGTCTTCTTCCTGACTCTTTATTTCATATTCAATTATCCATTTTCACTACTGAATACGTTTCCCAGTTCCTTTGCTTTGCAGGCTGTCTAAAGCAATGCCTCAGGCCTTTTCCTGTATCTCTTCCCCTGCAGAATCTAAAGATTTCCAGAGAAAAACTGATTAGAATTGACTTGTTTACCTTTGCTCAGCACTATTGATTGCTGCTTACAGAGATGGATTTGCATGTTTGCCTTCTGCTTTTTCTCATTTTTAACTGCTTAGTCTGACCCCAAAGCCCCATTCATTCAATTTTCCTGTTTTAATTCCAAATTACTGGGGTTTACCTCTTGCTGCCATCTTATTCCCTTCCTAATTTTGGTATGAGTTACTATTATCAGTCCTTAGCTGACAGTCAGCTCCAGTCTGCTTCCCTTCTTTTCCAAACTCCTGAATGGAAGAATGTATGTTTGTCCTGTCTCTTCATACTAAATTAATTCCAATCCATATTCTGTGTTGTGCTGAAATTGTCTTCAGTAATGGTTCTACAAACTTCTTCTTCTACCCAAGTTGAAAGGATTCCTCTTCTTTCTTACCCTCCTTGACCTCTGCTCTTTTCAATACTGTGTGTAATCCTCTGCCTTATTTTCCCTGGGCAATTTCCCTGGTATCACAGAATATTTTGAGTTGGAAGGAACCCACAAGGATCATCGAGTTGAGCTCTTAAATGAATATGGGGATATACCTGCTGAGGCACTTAGAATGGGTATATTCTTTCTAGTTAATTTCTTGTTTCCATTTTGGTCTTATTCCATGTTTGCACGAAGTTCTTCTGCTTCCCCTGGTGTAGTATCTTCTGTGATCTGCTCTTGTTCTTTATCATTGCAACCAGAGTTCCTGTTCGCGTGTTTTTCCTTTTTGGTGTTAAAACAGTATCATCATCTTCTTTTTTTCTTTAGGGGTTTGTGCTGTTCTATACTTATTTAGTTTCACTAAGCTGTAATTACTTTTGTGCTTACTGTCTCTTGACTACCACCATCTTGAACCTTGAGCTTGCTGAGAAAAGCTTTGTGGGGTGTCCGCTACATCCTAACACTTGTCAGAAAGCAGTCTGGGTACTCATAATTAGTTACCATGAACACATCTTCCTAACACTTTTTTGAATTGTAGTTTAGCCAAAGCCTGCTGGTCTATATGAGATGAAGACCTGTAAAGGACAGGAGAAAGAAACCCCACCTCTGTGTGTCTCCTCTCTGGCACTGCTGTTAGTTGCCAGTACCTTAATGTGATTTCAGCCCACTGTCTCCTCTTGGCCATATCTTTATCATGAGATGGGTGTTTTCTCAAGGTGGGTGCTTCTGTCTGTGTGGATCTCTTTCATTGTGGGTCTGCCATGCAACAAAAGTTAAAAAGTTTCTGCTTACTTTTGATAGAGGTTGTTCCGGTTTGGTGGAGATGGTTGGTTGGTTGGTTTTTTGTTTTAGTTGGGGTTTTTTGTTTGTTTGTTTTTGTGGGGGTTTTTTTGGTGGTGGTTTTTGTTCCTTTTTTTGTGGGTTTTTGTTTGTTTGTTTTGTTTCATTGTTTTGTATTTTTGTTTGTTTGTTTTGGTTTTTTTTTGGTGTGTGCTGTTTTGGAAATTGTATTCTCTACCTAATGTAAACATCTTTTGAGCAAATGGTGCTGAAGTTCCGAGCTGATAGAACAACTAAGTTTCTTTCAGATCTTTAGTTTCATTGAAGAAGAAAAATGGAATCTGTGGTTGAATGGCAGTATTCTCTTCTCTTGCATTTCATTCTTCTCCTTCATCAGTGATATTTTCTATTATCTCACAGCATTAATCCATTATAAAATTGGATTTGCAGGAGGTAACTGTTGGAGTTCATCACTCTTATGTCACCATAACTGTTAGGCTGCACTGTAAATCCATTTGTTCAAAGTAATCTGTAACAGACTTTTTCTAAGGAAGAAAACTTGCACTACAGTGTAACTCAGATTGCTCTGCTGATCTAGTTTATAGCACAGTTCCATAAAGTTTGCATCATTATATCTGAGCAGACAGACATTAATAGATCATGAAAGGGAACGAGGTATGGGGAGAGGCAGACCTTAAACTGCTTTCTCATGGGACATTTGTAATACATAATCCATTCTCTCTTCCTGCTGTTCTGCAGTTGGAGCGGCTGATTGGAGTTAAAAGGTTTATTTTGGCAACATGTCATAGGGGGCAAAGCAACTTATTGAGATCTTTGTGTTGGGATTGGGAA